CTTATCTACCAGCACAAACCTTACTTTACTGAGTGGGAGTGAGACATAAGGATGAAGCATGCAAAGATCAAAGGACGCTGAGTGTTATGAAGAGCAGAAACCCAAACCTTCAGAACGACCCAGCACCAAAGCCCTGAGACCTTTGAGCAGAAGAGCAGATCAGCTTCAGGACCATCCTGCACAGGGTTTGAGGCTCAGGAGCTTCCCAGCCCTGTGAAGAGGGGAGGGCAGAGAGGGAGGTGCTGCCACTAAAACTCCATTTCACCTGCAGACAGCACAGCTGAGACCAGGAGCACTTGGAGGGTTTTGTAAATCAGTGGGAGGCACAGCAGAGCTCGTCCTGAGTAAGGAGGGAAGAACAGCCACCACTTTTCTCATACAGAGCCAGTTTTCAGAGTGCAGGGGTTCACCCAGGTGAGCTTGGACACATGCAAAGGGACATTGAATCTGCTCAACAGATCTGTGCCAGAGATCACTGCGGATCTGAACTTTCAAACCATTAATTTTGATCAAGCAAGTTAGGAAAATTTCACAGTAGTGAAGGTGATGGGTAAGAAAGACCTTTGTCCCAGGCAAGGCTTGGGATGTCAGCACAGAGAGTGCAAATCCAGGGATTTTATTGTCCCGGGCAGCATTTTCCTTTTGAGGTGTTACATTGATCCTGGATATACTCACAAGGTCCTAAACAGTGTTTTTGTGGAGGCACTGGCATGCAGTAGGAAGGAAGGCACAGGCTGGTGGGAGTGTGGGGATGGAGCAGGATGCCTTCAGCTGGCACTGTCACAGAGACAAGGACAGGGACATCTCCTGCCTGATCCCTTCTGCCCTGCAGACACCTCCACCAAAACCAATCAACAACAAAGCCAGCCCTGCCTGTAACCTGTGTAGTCTCACAGGACCCTCTTGCAAAGACAGTGAGGTGTTTCACAAGGCTCTTGCAACGGGCTTTACCAAATTACTGTGTGGAAAGAGGTGTGAAATCAACAGGAATGGGGCAAGCAGCCACCACAGTGGCCTTGGACTCTGCTGTTCCTGTTCACCTGCTCTCCACAGCCTGTTGTGCTGTCTAGGTCCAGCTCCTGCCCTCGTCCTTGGCAAGGTCAATTCCTTCCCTCTGGCTGGTGCTGCTCAAGCAATAAGAAAGAAAAAAAGTAAACAACAAAGACAAAAGCTTTGATTATAGAGCCGCTGAGTTTGCCAGGCATGGGGAAGGCTGGGGGGAGATAAATGTTGCTAAACCAGAGTTTCCAGGCAGCACAGGCTTCCCAGTAAACAGGATTCACACCTCCCTTCCCACATCTGCTAATAACGGTGGGTCATGTTAGGGAATAGAAGAAAGGAAAGGAAAAAAACTCCAGTAGAAATGCAAAGGGTGCAAAACCTGGTCTGTCCTCAGACACCATTTCCAAACAACTCCCTTCCTGTGTCTCAGGAGTTCCCTGCCCTCAGCTGCAGCCACAGCACACATGGCAGTGAAGCCTGCATGGGAGCTCATGGGAACCCATCAGCCCAACATGTGTAACACCTCCAGGGCTCTCCCACACCTCTCAGGTGGCTTCTGGGGATGTGCTAACACATCTGATGGAACTGGGTGAATGTACCTTCCACATATCCTTGCTCAGTGTCCTGCCTCTCCTTTTTCCAGGGGAGAGCTGGCTTGTCTTCTCTTTGTAGGAGCTAAACCCCAATTTGTTGTATGGAATTCCCTACCCGCCTTGTTCCCAGGGTAAAGACAGTTGCACCTAGAAATTAATGTATCATTTTTGCTGGAACAGTCATAAGAGCCATAAAGCCTGCCCTGCGTTAGTATTTAAAGTATGTGCAAACTGCTCATAAGGATATGTAAGCATCAAGTGTCATTTGAAGATTTTAATGAAGCCAAGCAATGTTTTTCAAGCTGCTTTCCCAGTTAATGTTTAACAGGACAACAGCGTGTGCCCATTGGCACTGGAGTCAAGAACCAGGACAAGTTCAGTGTTGCTCTGCAGAACAATTTATATTGCTTCTGCTGGGAGGTCCTGGCTGGGCAGTTTCATTTCCAAAGGCACATGGAAATGACTTTGTAGGGTGAGGAAACTGAGCAGGACGGAATTGTCTGCAGCTGCAGGGCACTGGAGCAGCAGCCTCATCGTGCCCATGTGAGCAGTGCCTCCCCCTGGCCCCTGCATGCCAGCCCTCCTCTTCCTCACACCCTTCGAATGAGCCACGTGGTGTGGCACCAAATGATCCAGAGGAATTTTTTTTTGTTGGTTGGTTGTTTTTTCTCCATTCTGTGGAGCAAACTGCCTCCTGGGAGACTCTGCCAGATGTTGGGGTGCTGCAGCATGTCCAGAGAAGGAAATGGAGCTGGGGAAGGGTCTGAAGCACAGCTCTGGTGCTGAGGGGGCTCGGGGGTCTCAGCCTGGACAAAAGGAAGCTCAGGGGGGACCTTCTCCCACTCTACAGCCCCCTGAAAGGAGACTGTAGCAAGGTGGGAGTTGGCCTCTTTCTCCCAGGCAACAAGTGACAGGACAGGAGGGGATGGTTTCAAGTTGCACCAGGGGAGGTTTAGGCTGGATATTGAGGAAAATTTCTTCATCAGAGGGGTGCTCAGGCAATGGAACAGGCTGCCCACAGCAGATGGGGTCACCATCCTTGGAGGGGTGTAATACACATGTAGATGTGGCACTTGGGGACATGGTTTAATGGTGGCCCAGTGCTGGAGGAATGGTTGAATTCAGTGATCTCAGAGGGCTTCTCCAGCTTAAATGATTCTGTGATTCTGTGCGAGGAGGGCAGCAGGGCTGGGGTAGATGAGGCTGGGGAATGATGGTGCTCTACTGCCGGCATCCAGGGAATTGCAGCCTCTTCTTGGTGCCCTGGAAGGGCTCTCAAATATCTCCCACACCTCCCATCAGCCCACAAGTTTCATTCGGGATACACTTCAGGCGCTGGCTGAGCTCTTCAGACAGAGCAGGGGTAGCTGTGTATCCTGTTTTTCTCTTGCCCAAGTCATGTAGCTAATTTAAATAATTTCTTCCTGGTTGAGCCTCATTAGGGACCCAGCATTAAGCTGGCCTGATTAGATCTACTAATCGATGGTGGGGGAAAAAGAAGCTGGTTTCAGCACGCACGGCAGCACAGGAGCAGGATCCTGCTGCTCCACTCCCTGGGGACCACCACTGTCCCCAACCACATTGCCACCACTGTCCCCAAGCCCACCTCACCTTCCCGGGGCACAGCGTCACTGCACAGGTGGCCACTGCTGTCCCCTCGCCGCTGGCCACCACCGTGAGTCACGATCATGTGCCAGGGGCAGGGACGGTGACTGAGCACTCCAAACTGCGTCCTTGACCTGTTTTACCTGGGCAAACCCGTAACTGCTTTCCCAGGCTCTGTGCTTGGACCTTCTCCTGCGCACGTGTCCCGTTATCAGCACAAGGCGACAGCGCCCGTGCAAAGGTCCCGGTCAGCAGCCAGGTGTCCCGTCCAGCCCCCGCAGGGAAGGGAAGGTGTGGGGGGACTGTGGGGCCCAGCCCAGCCCCTGCCATGCCCAGGGGTCCCTGGTGGGGCCAAGGCACCCCGGGTCTCACTGCTGCCAACCCCGAGCAGGCTGAGGCTGCGCCCCGAGCCCCCCGTCCCCACCCTGACCCCACTGTCCCCACCCTGACCCCACTGTCCCTACCCTGACCCCGCCGTCCCTCCTTGGTTTAACCCCTGTCCGGCCCCGCTCAGCGGCACTGCCGGGACCCCTCCCCACGGGCACGGCCCGCAGCCTCCGGGTCCTTTCCACCTTCAGGCTGCTCAGACCCTGCTGGGAACAGCAGGGACAGGGACAGGCACAGGGCTACAGGCACAGTGGCAGCAGCTGGGACAGGGACAGGGACGGAGCACGGACAGAGACAAGGGCAGTAGCTGTGACAGGGACGGGGCAGGGAGAGGTGCTGGGACAGAAACAAAGGCAGTAGCTGGAACAGGGACAATGACTGGGGCAGGGACAAAGACAGGGACAGGGGCAATAGCTGGGAAAGGGATGGGACAGGGACAGAGACAAGAGCATCAGTTAGGACAGGGACAACTACAAGGACAGGGGCAATAGCTGGCATAGGGACAGAGACGAACAGTAGCTGGGACTGGGACAGGGACAACGACAAGGACAGGGGCAATAGCTGGGAAAGGGACAAGAGCAGTAGCTGGGACGGGAGAGGGAAAACGACGGGGACAGGGGCAATAGCCGGGACAGAGACAAGAGCAGTAGCTAGGACAGGGACAACGACAGGGGCAATAGCTGGGACAGGGAGAGGGACGGGACAGAGACGGGGCAATAGCTGGGACAGGGACGGGACAGAGACAAGAGCAGTAGCAGGGACAAGGACAAGGACCGGGACACGGCCCGCGGCCGCCCCGACCGCTCCCTCTGGCCACGCCCCCATTATGACCACGCCTCCGTTTTGGGCGGGGCTTGCCCGTAACGTGCCCGCCCCGCCGGGAGTGGGCGTGGCCTGTGTCTCCCGTGACGTCACCGTCCCGCGGAGTGCGCAGCAGGTGCGGGCGGCGGCGCGAGACGCGCAGGGCGCAGGTACCGGGGGCTGCGTGAGGGGCCGGGGGGCCTGGGCCGGGCTCGGCTCGGCTCGGCTCGGCTCGGCTCGGCTCGGCTCGGGTGGGGGGAGCGGGGCCGCGCAGGACTGATGAGAAGGAGGGTGAGGAGGATGAGGAGGAAGGCTCCCCGGGGTGAAGGGCCGGAGCCGCCCCGTCCCTGGGAGCCCGCCCTGGGCACAGCGCTGCGGAGGGGTCGGGGCAGGAGCGGCCCAGCGAACCCTCCCCAGCCCGGGGGTCCCGCCCTGCCTGGCAGCCCTGGCCGTGTGTTTTTTGTGCCAAACGTGCCCTAAACAGTTCCAGGCTGGCGGGGCTGCGGCTCCCAGCGCTGCCCTGTCCGTGGGGACGCGGGGCTGCCCGGCTGGGGCTGTGCGTGAGCCCAGGGCGGGCACCCAGCGCGGCTGGTACCCATGCTGAGGCTCGGAATAAAAATAATAGCGCTGCATCCTGTGTTTAAAACCATTGTGGTTGTCCTGGATTTATGTTTTCTGTTCCTGTAGCTGAGGACGCCTCGTTTGGATAATTAAATGTCATGGTGAAATAGGAGAATGGGGGAAGGAGAGCACTTGTCTCCTGTCCTCTGCTGCATGGATGTGCCGCCTCTTCTGCTGGCAGTGGGCAGCCCCTCTCTGTCCAGGCTAGTGCCAAAATCCGCCCCACTCATCCCTGTCTAGCTTTATCTGAAAGGAAAAAAAGAGATGCTTTTTGTACCTCGTGTGTGAACAACCTGGTTGTAAATAGGGTAAGTCTGGGTAAGGTAGTGAGTGTGGGTGAGTTATAATGACTGTGCTGAGCAGCTGCCTTCTCCTTGTGTGTAAATACAGTGGTAGGATACAAGGTGTGGGAAGTGCTGCTGTGCTAGCGACGGGGAATTTCTCATCAGTTGCTTAAATAATAAGCAACTCTTCCTAGAAAATTTTGATGATGATAATAATATTACTATATCAGGTAGGCTGAGGAGGAGGCTGAAAACACTGAGACTTTATAAATTTTTCTGATCGTATTTCAGTGCTTTTTGGGGACAGTCAGGGATTAATGTGCATGTTAGATAATAATCTTCCATTGCGCAGAATAGTGGTTTTACCAAGCACGGGAACTTCTGCAGCACAAATTCTGCCACGCTCTGCCCCTTATTCATGTGCTATAAAGGCCACCTTTGTTAAATACTGATTTGTCATTCCCCGAATGGTGTGAGAGCTGTAACTGATAATCTGCAGAGGCTGGTGGGTGTCCTTGCAGCAGAGGTCGGAGAGGAGGCTGTCCTGTGAAGGAGTGGCTCTGACACGGGTGGGGGCTCTGTGTGTGCTGAGCAGACCCTGCGAGGCAGTGCCTGGTGTCAGAGCAGAGAGCTCTGCCTTTCTGCTGCCCTGTGTCCCCCCAGATCCATGTTACACTTAAAATTGGCAGTGCTCAGAAAACCAGAGGTGTTCAGTGAGTGCAAGCAGAGATGTTCCTGCTCACAGCATCGAACTGGGGTGACAGAAAAGTGCCTGAAGAGCTTTGTGTGCCATAAACAGAGGAGCTACCTCTGGTCAGGGTAGTTCTGTGCAGGATCAGATGAATATGTTACCTGATAATTTTTTTCTGCGAGGGCAGAGCAAGCTTGTGTAACTCTGGATTTTCAAGAAACAGGTCTGCATTTCTCCTGTCCCCTGTTTGTGGTCTCCCTGTGGCACGGCTGGAAGCTTTTCAGGGGTCCCTGAAAACTTCTTGTGGGAGCTGGAGCCTTGAATGAGCAGATTTACTCATTCTCTGCTGTCAGTATTGATATTTTCTACTCTCTGAGTTGCGTATCCTGCCTTTCTCAACTTCCTGCTGCTGACCTCAAACCCAATGGCTCAATGAGTAGAAAATAGCACCGTCATTTCTGGGAATAGGGAAAGATAGGAAGGAGCCCAAGTCGTTCAAGCAGACGGTCAGTATTGCCAGGCCTGGCATCCTGCCTGTCAGGCAGCCTGGGAGCCTCCAAGGCCGCCTTCCCCAGGATTTGGGGTGAAGTGCTTGGCCTCACACCCCTGCTGAGGGGCTGGCAAATGCTGGGCTACCCTCACAGCTGTACCCTGAGTGCTCTTCCCACCAGAGATCCTTTTGTGTGGAAGTGCCATCAGCACACTGTCCTGGGAGGGAGCAGTGCTGTGCTCGAGTGCCTGCCCACAGCTGGCTGGGATTGCAGAGGGTTTTGGGGAATGGATCTCCTTGGAAGCATCTGGTCTGTTGTATTCCTTATGCCAGGCAGCACCACTGCTGGACAAAAGCTGCTCTTTCTGTCGCTTATGTATCAGAGAGAGAGATTTCTAGGATAGGGACTATCCTAGAAATAGAATATCTAGGATAGGAAATATAGGATATAATGTATTCCTGAGGTATTATTTAGTCTTACCAGCTATTGAGGGCAGCCCCCTGATTGTGGAAGTTTTTCAGCCCCTGGCAGGGTAAAGCAAAGGCTTTCTTGGTTTGGTGACCACTGGGAGAATCTGGGAACAGCCCATGACAAGCAGACATTAAAGAGGATTCTTGGATATGCCCTACAGGCAAAGTAAAGCATCGTGTTAGAGCCACATGAAAGATATGGAAAAGCAGAAAAAGTGAGAAAACATGGAGGGGGCAGAGAAATCTCAGTCTCATTCCGTTTTACAGCCTATCATGGAAATCTCTTTCTGAGTAATGAGATCTCAGCTGTAGAAAATGCCTGTATTTCTGTCTGCACACAGCAACAAACTGTGCCTTGGGAGCTGTGCTGCTGCCAGTGTGCTTCTGCTTGAGGTGCTAGAAAATCATCATGTGCTCCGGGTAGTATCTTCCACTTAATCCACCAGTGTTTCAGAGTTGGGGAAGTTATCCTGAAAGACTGCTGCTGTTCCATGGCTGGAATGCTGCCAGGACATCATCTGAATACCATACAAATCTATTATCTGTGCTTATTAATTTTCTTGCCAGTCAGTTTGTTTCCCATTCTCTTCTCAGTTAGACCAACAAAGCTACTTGCTTTAACTGTTATTTTCAGGTCTAGTTTTACCTGACAGTCAGATGTTTTCATTGAGTTTCTTGTTGTTTTGGTATTTGTTGCACCTTAAAACAGTCAGTACACAATTTAACAGCAAACTATAGTCATGCATTTCTGGAATTATCTAAGGCAACACATTATACAAAGACTTGAACAAGAGCAGTGCATGCAAAAACATTCAAAACCTGGAATCAAGATGTAGATGCTTCTCTCTGAAATTATTACTGTGTAAAAGAACTTTGCTTTTTGGTATGTTTTGCCACAGGCACTGCTGTACCTAGGCAGAGTCTCACCTGGTGTGTCAGCAACAAGTACCATGGCTGACACCACCCGAGGGGCTGTGAAGTGATGCTTTCCATCTTTGTAATTGTTAGTTCCTGGTGTTAAAGTACATTTCATCTAAAGGTTTTCTAAAACCTTTCATCAGGTGCCTGAAAAACTGGACAATTTTCCCCCATAAGGTTGTAGTTTATGTAATTATTCATGTAATAACAGTAGCAGGGCATTGGATTTGTTTTGGTTTTTTTCCACTAAGGCTTTTATTGTAGGAACAATGTCAGCTTCATACTTTCCTTCTGCCATGCAGAGCATGTAGGTAGACAGTGGGCAGCAGTAAGTCATGGGGAGTGATTCTGAAGAGGTGTGTGTGTGTATATTGGTAACAATTGATGAGACATTGGAATTTGTCTGAAGAAGGAAAATCCTGGCATGCAATCCCGTGTGGGTGTGAGGGTGCATTGGTGAGAGTTCTGTGGAGATCTGTGACTGTGAAGCTCCACAAGGGATGTTGCCTCTGAAGCAAAAACTGTCAACATGACAGCCCTTTAGAGCTGATCAAATCCTGGTTTCTAAAACCAAAATCACCTGGAAATGTGCTTATCCATTATTTTTGCCAAGAAGGCAGGGCAGACAGTGGGACTGGTGAGCTGGGGCAGTTTGTAGAGACACCAGCATCAGCCTCAAACATCACTGCACTTCCCATTTTCACACATGGGCAAGACTTCAGATCTCTGGAGGGCTTGGAGGATAGCAGGAGGAGGGAATACCTGGCTCAGGAAGGTTAAATGTTTGTTCATCCAAACCACTGCTCAGTGCTCAGAGCTGCCTGAGCTGGTGGATTCAGCCACATGAGCAGCAGCAGTTGTTTTTGTGCAGGAGATGCCTGGCAGCCACTCAATCCCCTCTTCCCAAGGACTCTGAGTGTCCTGGAGTCCAGGACACCTCTTAAGGAAATGGGCTTGAACAGAGGAGTGAGTGTTAGCTTTTCCTTTTACAGCACAAAGCTGGGCTTTTTGCTTTTGCCTAGACCTGCATTTTGGAAATTAAAGTAATTTCAAACAGCTTTTGTCAGAAAAGGTGGGGGCAGCTCTTGTTCCCCCTCAGCTATTAATCTAGGCTGATGGAGTTACCTGGTGAAGTGGGAGGGCAAATCAGGGAGGAAGCTTTTCCTGGAAGCAAATTGAGCAAGAATGGAATCTCTTACAATTTATCCTTAACGTACCTTTCATACAATCACTAAATGGAGCTGACAAATAAGCTGGTAAGAGGGAAACACGGAGCCAGTGCCATTTAAAAGCCACTTGTACTCTTTTTCATTTGGATACTGTTCATATGAAATGTAATTTAAATGCCAGGCCGGTTGCCAGGAGCTGGATTGTTGATGTTAAATGTACTTTCCATTAGAGCTCTGTATTGGAAAACTACTTCCTAGCGCTGCAGGCATTGGAAGGGGTGGGTTACATCAGGGTGCCCCAGTTGTCCTTCTCAGGGTCTGGCCTCTCTCCATGCCTTCCATCTTCATCCCTGCAAAGACCAGCTGAATCAATACCTGCCATACCCAAAACCTGATTCCTCCTGACTACACCAGCACGAGGTACAGTGCTTGTTCTGCTGTCCTAAAAACAAGCAACTTCTCACCTTTAAATTCCAGAAATCTGCTAATTGCTTTTGGGTAGTTGTGGGGTTTTTTTTTACTGTGTTCCAGGCTCCTGATTTTCTTTGGTTTGTTTGCTTAATTTACTAATCCCCCATTTGTTTTCATAGGGCTGTTTCTTGCACTGGTTCCTATGCAAGAGAAGGCATTTCACCCTGTTTCAGCACCCTGCTTAGATTATCCTCTCACCCCACATGCAGAGTTCTTTATTTAATGGATTTGCTTGCACCGGGGATTGCATTTGAAGGATCTGACTTGCAGGCAGCTGTCCATAGGGATTGGTATTTCTTTGCAGGTGGATTAGCTGTGGACACCTACTGTGTAAAAAAGCAGATCGTTTTATGTGTGCTCTCCTCAGTTTTGCCAAGGTAACAAGGGGCCAACAGGTAGAAGCAGATTCTTACTGCTCTCCAGTCACTTGGGCTGTAATTATGGTGGCCATAATTAGTCTGACCTCAAGAGATGTTTGGGAGCACCAGCCTTGTACGTGGCCTTTTGGAGGAGGGAAAAGAGTGAAACTGGGTCATCTTGGCAGGCTCTGAAGGGTCTTTGTTTGGACATCCCTTGTGCTGACAGAAAAGCATTCTTCCTTGATGCTTTCCCTTATTCTCGTCATTCTTGGTTGTTTTCATGCATCATGTTACCTTCTGACCAAAAATCCTCCCTGTCCAGGCCCCCAGGCTGTGCCACAGAGCTGCACTTGTGGAGTGGCAAATCCAGCAGCCATCTAAATTAGGCTTCCTGTTCCTTTTTTCCTAGTTTTGGAGGTGGCAACTTGTGGTTGGTGAGACTTTCCCAGGTTGAAACTGAGGCTGTTTTCAGAGACTTGTGGAAGGGACTGTGTTGTCACTTGGGTGAGCAGTGTGGTGAGCTGTACGTGTGCAGTGACAGGCTGTACAGGAGCTCTTCCCACTTGGAAGGATCTTGCAGTTGCAATTACGTGCAGTGCAACTTGAGCTCTGTTTTTAGCTTGATGGATGGCAAGAGCTGGGCTGGGAAAGGGGTGGGAAAGGGGTGGGAAGCAGGAGACAGCTGTGGCACTGTGCAGAGAGTCTGCCTGCTCCCTCCTAGACAAATAGTGACACTAAAAGGCACAGCGATGGCTGGAAAGAATAATCAAGGAATGTTGCAGGCTCTGTTGAATCAGTCTTCAGCTCAGGAGAGATGCCTGAAGAAAGAAAATGATAATAAATTCATGAGTGTGCTGGAAGAGGAGGATCAGGAGCAGTGACTGACTGGTTCTGTAAGCAGCTGCCTTGGCTTGCTGGCCTTGTACAAGGCAGTAAATGTGAAGCAATCAGAAGCTTTTTTCAAAGTCTAATGGTGAAATTTGTTTCTCTAAGGATTGGTTTCCAAAATGGACAAGCTAAATATATATGTGTATCTAGTGAATGCAAAGCATTATAGTTCTGTGCTTGCACCTTTTACTAAGCCTTAGCCAGAGCCAGGTTACAGCTGAAGAGGGACTGACATTCTCCCAAAGGATGGTGGTTCTTACCTGTTGGTACCTCTGTGTGTGCATGCTCATCTGGTGTCATGTGCATTTTCTATACAGCACTGGGCTTCAGTGACTTCTGGGTTGCAGACCTTTTGAGCAGCACTGCAGCCTCCTGGGGTATGATAAGCAGCTTGTTTAAAAATGAAATCCTGCTGTTGGGGTAGGGGAAATAGTGTTTGCTCAGCAGCGTGGAACAAAGGAGTTTGACCATAACTTAAGGAAACAATGATGTACTAATGAACTTGCCCCTTAGCAAAAGTTCTGATGGGTGGGGAGGTGGAACAGGAGGTGGTTTGCCATTCTCTTCAGATGGATTAGCAATTTCTCTGTTGTTAAGCAGCAACAGACAGGGCAAATGCTTAGTGACAGTCAAGGAAATCTCTTTGTTTGCAAGGAAATCTCTTGGTGATTTTGGGCAGGGACCATTGAGCTCTGTAGTGGCTCTTCCTGCTGGACCTCCTGCAGTGCCATGGAAAATGAAGGGCTTTACTGATGGTTGGCTTCTTTCTTTTGAGCTTTGCTAGGAAAGCCACAGATACCAGTTCTGATGCAACCTCACAGGGGTTGGTCCTGGTTGGAGCTCTTACAGAATTACTGGTTGGGGTGAGAACCCACAGCAAAGCTGGTGATACTTTTGACTAAGAGCTCAGGTATGTATCTGAAAAGTATCTGCTTCATGATTCAACGCCCTACCATGCAAACACATACCCATGTGAGTAAATAGAGCTAGGAAGTGTGTAAAGTCATCTATGAGGTCATGAGACTGAAGGAAATCTCAGTGTTGTCACACAGCTCAAAAGGGCAAGTAGGGATGTGTGTATGTGGAGCAATGGCTGGCAGTGAAACTGGGGACAAGGAAAGATTCTTCCCCAGAGCTTAGTTCCACAACTTCCACCTGGGTTTGCTGAATGCCTTGATGAATTCTTCAGGAGTTTCCTCGCTCATCACAGACAAATCCCTGGTGGCTGCTGAAGTTGTTCCTGCTGGACACTCTGTTTTGTCTCTTGCCTAATCTCAGTTATGTTACTGTACCCTCAGTTGTGGAATATGCTCTTCTTAATCTCCATCTTTTCCTCTGTTCTGCTGTCNTTGTTCCTGCTGGACACTCTGTTTTGTCTCTTGCCTAATCTCAGTTATGTTACTGTACCCTCAGTTGTGGAATATGCTCTTCTTAATCTCCATCTTTTCCTCTGTTCTGCTGTCTCTTCCCAGACATCTGTACAGCTGTCAGAAGGCTCTGGCCAGTTTTCCCTTCAGCACCTCTCCCATATCAGCAGCTGGAATCTCAGTTACTGCCTCCATTCCAAACCTGCCTTCTCTTCAAAAACTGTTTTGACACAGCTAACATGGAGCTGGTAAACAAAGAGCATTAGTAGTTCTTTCTTGTTCCTTATGCTGCCACTTCCCTGTTTGCTCAAGCCATCAGATTTGTAACTCCCTCTGACCGTTTCACAGACATTTCTGCAGAACTGCTGGTGTGCAGGGTTTTTTTGTTCACTCTCTTGACTGTTGGTGTTAACCAGGCTTTATTCTTGCCACACTCTTCCAGGGGTTTCTGAGTTTTGCCTGAGCCTCATCTCAGCCCTTTCTGCAGAGGTGCTTTGTTACCTGTGTGGTTCCACTGGCTCCAAAGGGATTCTGGCACGTTCCCATGCTGGGTGCTTGCACAGAGGCCAGGCAGGCTCCCTGCTTGGCTACCAAAGGGAGTGAATGGCCAGTCCTGATGGAGAAGGGTGGCCTCCAGTGGTCCCAGCACAAGTCCCTATGGTAGGGGAGCAGTGGGATGGCTGAGTTTGTTGTCTGCTGACTGAATTTGAGTTTACAGCCAGCTGAAGAATCACAGCATCTGTTAAACCTTCCTTCAGCACTAAAATATCAATGATATTGAATGTAGATAAATGAATTGATGCATATGAAGGAACAGAAGGGAAGACTGACCTTCCCTGGAAAGGGTGGGCTGAGTTGATCATCCTCTTGGGCAGAAGGACTTTGGAAAACTGAAGTAATCCAGGTGAGTCTGCTGGAGCTGGACAGTGCTCATCAAAGCAAGCTAAGCCCAGGGGGTTCTCAAAGTTTGTGAACAAAACATGGTCTGTTGTTTGCTGCCTTTAAATGCCTCGTGTGTGTGTATATAAAAACACATATATTTATACCTAGGGTGTGAAATTACACCCTTGAACAGAGAAGGGGGGCATGGATGGAGAAGTTGTCCCCTGCCCAAGGAGCAAAGAATGAGCTGGGGCTCTTTGATCTGGAGCAGGGCTTTCCCACATGCCACCTCCTTGGTTTGGTGCATCCCTAAATTCAGGAGGGTGACCCTGGTGGGGCAGGAGGGAATTTTCCACAGGGCAGGCAGCAGTGCCCTGGATCCCCTTGTGCCAGGAGCAGCTGTACATTGGCTCAGGGAGGCTGAGCAAACCAGGGGGGTCACAGGGTTGCCTGGGCCATGTCTGGGCACCAAATGGTTACTGTGCCACATGCAGTGGTCTGTGAGTATACACACACTCGCTCTGGCCTTGTTCTTCCCTGGAAACTTGCTTCTGGATGTTATTTTGGGATGATTTTCTGGGTTAGATGAGCGTTAGTGGCCTGATGTGTCCCAGTTCTCTAATTGATTGCATTGAAGTGAGTTGTAGGGCTTGTTGCCTGCCTTTCCCTGCCTCCCAAAAGGAAGAATTTCCTTGCTGGATACTCGGTAGGGGCGTTGCATTGCAGTGAAGTGGTTAAAGAGCTTTGAGTTAAGTGTATGTTGTGCTTGTCAGTTTTAAAGGGAACAGTGAAGTGGTTAGGCTGACCTAGCACTGGGGGAAAAAAAAAAACAACCATAAATAAAATTCCTGTAATCCCTGGCATTGGTTAAGCAGTTAAAACTCTTGACAAAGCCATTAGAAGACATCATCTGCAGGGTACAACACTGTCTTAAAAATTAGCTGGGACAACTTCTTTGTGAGGGGAAGAGGAGGGACAGACACTGATCCCTTCACCCTGGTGACCACTGACAGGACCCAGGGAATGGCTGGAGCTGTGTCAGGGCAGGGTTAGGATATCAGGGAAAGGTTCTTCCCTGACCCAGAGAGTGCTGGGCACTGCCCAGACTCCCCAGGGAATGGCCACAGCCCCAAGGCTGTGTTTGGGAGTGTTTGGGCAATGCTCCAGGAGTGTTTGGGCAATGCTCCCAGGCACAGGGTGGGATTGTTGGGGTGTCTGTGCAGGAGCAGGGATTGAAGTGGATGATCCTTGTCCGACTCAGCCTGTTTGTGGTTCTGTGACTGTGCCTGGCACACCAAGAGGAGTGCTGGGATGAATTCAGGTGAGTGACAGCTGCAGCCTGTGAGCCTCAAGGGCTTCTTGGTGTCCTCCTGGGCAGGAGCACAGCCCTGTCCCCTTGGAGCAGTGCCTGGATCCCGGGCACTGGGTGGGATCTGCGGGGCTGTGTGTGCAGCAGAGCCCCGTGGTGCCACTTGGCATCATCATCATCATCACAGACAGATCTCCAGTGGCTGCTGAAATTGTTCCTGCTGGACACTCTTTTTTATCTCTTGCCTAATCTCAGTTATGTTACTGTACCCTCAGTTGTGGAATATGCTCTTCTTAATCTCCATCTTTTCCTCTGTTCTGTTGTTCTGCTGTCTCTGCCCAAACATCTGTACAGCTGTCAGAAGGCTCTGGCCAGTTTTCCCCTCGCTACCTCTCCCATATCAGCAGATGGAGGGGGGCACTAATACTCGTCTAACCCAGAAAATCGTCCCAAAATAACATCCAGAAGCAAGTTTCCAGGGAAGAACAAGGCCAGAGCGAGTGTGTGTATACCCACAGACCACTGCATGTGGCACAGTAACCATTTGGTGCCCAGACACGGCCCAGGCAACCCTGTGACCCCCCTGGTTTGCTCAGCCTCCCTGAGCCAATGTACAGCTGCTTGTGGCACAAGGGGATCCAGGGCACTGCTGCCTGCCCTGTGGAAAATTCCCTCCTGGATGCTCCCATGGTTTCTGCTGCCTGTCCCCCAGAGTGGGAATGCAGTGCTGAGCTGCCAGCCCTGCCCAGCTCCGTGCCCATCCCAAGGGGATCCTGCTGGATCCACTGCAAGCTGAGCCTGGCTGAGGCAAATGATGCTCCTGGTATTTCTCTCTGTGGCGTGTGGGAGGAGGTGTGTAGCAAAGGGGAACTGTCTGCACCCTGTAATAGGGGAAGGAAATAGCAGGGTTCAGCTGCTGCCGGCAGGAAGGCTCCTGAGAATGTAGGATATTAACATACACTTCTGTTTCTCAGACAGAGGGAAGCTCCAGCAGCCTAATGTCAGAGAAATGGTTTGCTTAGTCATGCTGCTCAGAGGTTCATTAAAGTTGCAGTATTGTGACAGTCTCATCTTCGATGGCTGTGCCATGAGGAGTACATGACATGGGTTTTATGAGCAGTAACCCTCTGAGGTGTCTTTAATGTAGCTTTTTGAATGAGGCTGAGCCCAAGGCCCTAATTCTTTGTGGCTGCTTAATGATTCAGTTGTGTATGACTGGAAGACTACACAGTGTGCTGGGGTACAGAGTCATCAGGGAATTATTCACATACAGCCTCGCTCCAGAGTGCTGGTGTGGAGGCTTTAACAATTAGCAGAAGTGGAATGGCCATTAGTGTTCACTCCTTCTCCTGTCAAAGCTATCAAATATGCCTGGAACAGGCTGCGTTTTTCCATCGTTTTCCTTTCCGATATTGACAGAGACGTGAAGTAATTGCTTCAAAATCTCTCTTAAAAGTGCTTTAACTGTGAGTGGAAGCAGAGGATTTTGTTTGCTGCTGCAAGACTTGGGTCTTAGGGTAGATAGCTGATGCATGACTGGAAAGCAGCATGTTATTCCTGCTCAGCTAAACTTGTGTCACTTAAAGAAATCACTTCAACTCCATCCCTGCCTCTGTGGTAGGGTTAAAAATAAATTTGCTGCTTGACTAGGTACTTTGAAGTCTGTTCCTCATACAACCTAGGGCCCTCTGGAGAGCAGTCTGAAATGGAACTCATGGACGAGCAGACAAAAGCAAACCAGTTGTCCTGTTTGTTTCCTCTTTTTCAGGGCAGATTCCGCATCCCACATGAGCTACGATAATCCTCCACCGTACCCCGGCCCGGGCCCCACCGCCCCGTACCCACCCTATGCACAGCAGCCGGGGGCCCCTCCCGGCCCCTACCCTGGCTACCCCCCCGGGCCCTACCAGCCAGGCCAGCCGGGCTACCAAGGATACCCCCAGTACGGGTGGCAGAACGCTCCTCCACCGCCGCCAGGACCCGTGTACGCAGATGGCCCCAAAAACACAGGTATGGCTCAGCAGCTGCGATGTCAGGGGCACTGTTTGCCTCCCAGGTACACACTGACCTTCAGGTAATGTGTTCACCAGCACCTGGCCCTAAGGGCCTTGCAGGAGGTGGAGATTTGTTTGAAGTGGGGGTTTTGTTGACAGCTTGTTTTGCTGCTTTGTTTTGCTGTATTTCTCTCACAGTCTTCTCTGTGGTTGTTGGAGAATACTGCTGAGCATCCTTAGTGCTGATTCCTCGAGGGAATCCTTATGCTGAGGTTGCTGCACTGGCTTTAGATTTGCCACAATTCTCATTCCACTTTTCTCTTGGTTGATAAGTTTCAGCCAAAGGCTGCACAGTTAAAGCTTATAATATTTAAATGTACAATTGGTACTGAATTAATGGGCCTTGGTTTTCTTGAGCCCATCAGTATCTGTCCAAATGATCTACTCATTCCTGGGAATTTTGGTTTTTTTCTGAAGTTACTGTTATTCTGTGGAAAAACCCAGATTTCTGGGGAAGGGAGGGAGGATGGTGCATCTGTGTGCTGCATCCCCACAATATGGCATTTTGGTATGCCCTGGCACCCACAGCTCTCCTGGGGCTTGCTGCAGGCTCAGATTGTCAGAGCAGAGGCAGAGAGGATGATTAAAGGACCAGAGCTTCTCCTCCTTTCTATGAGGAGAAGCTGAGAGAGGTGGGACTGTTTAGTGGGTTTGAATTGGTGTGAGTCTATCAGGAGGACCCAAATTTAAGCAGTAAACAATTGGTGTGAGTGAATAAGAACTTGAATTGTGGGCAAATCATGAGTTCAACTTCCTCTGTAACAGAGTGAAAACCCTGGAGGAGGAGGAGGCAGCAGCATGGTGTTGCTTCCCACCACTTCCACCACATGGACTCAAATTGTAATCTGGGTTTTCCCTGGGATTTTGGGTGGCTAAGAGATGTTTCTTAGTGCTGGGCAAGGGAAAACTCTTTGTCTCCCCTGTTGAACATCTTTGGTTGGTGCCAGTGTTGCTTTTTTGCTATAGCCACACAAAGGGATGTGCTGGCAGAGGCTGAAGGGAGACAGGGGCTGTGGCTTTGGACAGTCTGGCTTTGAGACAGTTCTGCTGCCTTGGAAGCTTGAAGGATCTTGTATCAAACTGGATGTGATGGACATCAAATTGATGTCTCTGAATGTCCTCTGCTCTGCTCACAAACCTGTGGACCAGCCCAAAGAATAGGCTGGGAAATGGGAGGAGACAAGCAGTGAAGCATTTGTCTTTCACTGAAAGCCCAGGCTTGTTCTGCAGGAGCTTTGATTTTGTTAAGCCTAAGCTAACAGAACTTCAGCTCTGCAGAAGCAGCACTCTAACCCATAAATCAAAAACCTTCTGGTAAGTCTTGGCCTTGAACTGCCTTCCTGCAGCTACAAGTGGTCTCTGAACCCATCTTGGCAGTGTCTAATTTGCTCTGCTTTTGCAGAAGTAGATGTAAAAAAAGTGATAGAATTACAGAATGGTTTGAATTGGAAGGAACTTAAAGATCAGCCAGTTCCAATCCCCTGCCATGGCAGGGACACTTTCCACTATCCCAGAGTGCTCTAAGCCCCATCCAGCCTGGCCTTGGGCACTGCCAGGGATCCAGGGGCAGCCACAGCTGCTCTGGGCACCCCGTGCCAGGGCCTGCCCACCCTCACAGGGAAGAATTTCTTCCTATTATCCATATAACCCTGCCCCATTTATTTTAAACACGTTTATTAATGTCTGCTAAGTGGCATCAGGGCTATAACTTTGCATTTGTCTACAAAAGCTTTCTTTTTCTTCATTCTCCTTCTGTTAAACACCCTTCCCCCTCGCCCTTTGCTCATTTTCTGGCCAGTCTGTCAAACTGGAACCTGATCTTTGTCCTCTGACACTGTAAAAGAGCTTTCAATGGGGCTTTGTTAAAGAACCCCAGGAGTGTCTAGCTTAGAGTGGATGCCTCTAAAAAAGCTAATTTTTATAAATCTGTTACACTAGTGCTGTGCATCTGTTGGTGTGGCTGAACTTCTAATATAAAAAAATTGACATCTAAATTTAATCAAGGCATTGCAGTCAGCCTGGGCTGGTTCTAGTGTGATTTCATGTGGCTTGTCAGTTCCTGTGGTGTTTCCAAATAATTATCTGTGAAGAGCTACTGTGTGGATGCTTTCCTTTCAGAGCGGATGTTTTGCTCTCCTACGTGACTTTGCTTAATCTAATGAATTAAGCTACTCCAAGTAGTGCATTAGTATTTCTGAACAAACATGTGTCCACAGTGAAAACTAGGAAATTTGCTAGCCTTTAAATTCTATGCTTTACGTTATTTTTACTGTGTGGGCAAACTGCAAAGCAGGCTCTCATGTTATAGATGTTAGCCAATGTGCTAATTCTAATGTGTGGAAGTAATTATGTATCATATTTTGGTCTTGAGTGGATCACACAGATGGAAATAATTATTATTGAGCTCTCAGAATCTGATGGTAAAGTAGCATTTTCTGGTGATTCTGTTTTTTCATCTTCATTTGTAGCCTGTCAGGAGTAGCAATGGACATAGCCTGTCCACCTGCCCCTCGGAGAAGTAAAAAAACTTCACATGCCTCCCTCTGCATTAAATCTGCACCTGAGATGTAACAGGGAAGCAGCTTAACCTGGGTGCTGCTGAGGGTAGGGAAGATAAAGTTCTTGTTGTTCAGTGAGCAGTGACTGCAACAAATAGGTGAGAAAGGGATGTCACCACCTTTTCAATATGCCATTGAATAGGGGGACAAACCTAAAGGCTTGCTGGAGGAAGCTGCAGCCCAGAGCAGCTCTGAACAAGAACATGTGTGTTCCCCTCTGGACTGCCTGTGCAGGATTAGCCAGCCACGAGGGTGGCTGGGGTGCAGAAATCAGCTTGTGGTTATGTGTGAAGACTTAGTGGTGGTGGCCATATGACTGCCGTGTGGCCACCCCCATAGGGCACTGTGGGACAGGGAAGTGTCCCTGTCAGCTGATCCCGGTGTTCCTTGGCCCCTTCTCCCAGAGGGGATGGGGTACAAGCTTGCACCCCTCAGAGTCACCCCAGCTACCTCAAAAAGGTGTGAAGGACCTCAAAGCATTTTTTCTCCACATGAAGGAGCAGCGAGCTGGACCCTCACTGGTGACTTGCTGAGGTGGCACAGAAGCCCTCATGGTTTTGGTTTTTTGGAAGGATGGCTTTTAGCCTTGACCAGGTTACTGGTACCAAAGTCTCCAAAGAAACCTCAGGTCTCACATCTTTCGAGGGCTGGCGACTGCCCTGGCTGTTGTTCATTAGAAATAAACAACTTGCCCTTTGCCTTTAGGGATGATAATGTGCATGCTGAGCCTGAGGGACATTATCCTTAAGGGTGTCTGATTCAGCTTCCCAGCTCTGGGGGCTGATGTGCTGATCCCTGGCTGCAATTTTCTTGCTGCAAAGGCTGAGGGCTGACTCCTTGTCTGTCCACACAAAATCCATGTGGGTGTGAGTTCCTGGAACAGGATAGATGTGCCACACAGTGCTTGGTGTGGCTGGAGGGAACCTGCCTGCCCCAGAACAAAGCTGGGAAACACACACTTTTACAATGTGGCTCCTGTGTGCAGCATTGTGTAGGGAGCAGGTTCTTCTTTACAGCAAGGGCTTGCTTAGGAGGAAGAAAGTACCTCATTCCAGAAGATATCTCGTTTCCCCACCAGTATTTTCATTATTTGTTATCAAAGGAAACCACAGTAACTGCTGACTGGTCAGCTGGTACTTTCTTGTCTATGTAAATTGGAGGTGAAATGTATTGCAGCTGATAACGGCATGCTTTAAAAAGAAGTGGAATGAGCCAAAGTACGAAGTGACGTGCTCATTTTCAAAGCAGAAGCTGATGCTAGCAGTTTCACCACTTTTATTTCTACCCCTGCTCCCTGTCGATACATGCCAACATAATGGATGAGGCTATTCCATGCTGTGCCAAAGGGAACCAGGCTCTGTCAGAGGCACTGAGGGCAAACAGAGCTCGGGATTGCATCTGAGCCATTGTACACACAGGGTGGAAATCTTATTTCTGGGACTTGATTACTTGCAGCAAAGCCGGCTGTGATAAGAGTAATAGTCACAGTGATGCTGTCTGCCTCCTAATGTTTGTCCAGCTGCAGAATAAACAGGTCACCTAGATACAGCCACTGCCTGCTGCTGCAGGGCTGCATGGTTTTTTCCCTCTTTACCTGTCTCTGTGTGGAAGGGAGGAGATCAGAATCCTTCTGGTGAGGCTCTCCAGTGCCTTTCAGTGGTTACCCCCTTGCTGCCCAAACCAACTGGAGCTGAGCCTTCCCCAGCAGGAGTTAATTTGGAGGACAGGCTTTCTCTCTGTCTGTTGGCCCTTTCTAAGTAGTCTGTCAGAGCATTTAGTTTAACTGTTCCTGTACCTTCAGGAGCTGCAATTCCAGATGCTGGAGTCCTGCCAAAATAAATAAATAAATCTTACTTGGCAGTTGTCCTCTTATCTGCTTCTCATTCTTTAGTGTGCTTTAAAACCCAGCATCCTCTCCTCCAGGACTGCTGTATCATCCCTCCCTCTGTCCCTGGCTGCACAAACAGCAGGGGCTGTTGGCTGGCAAACAGTGCAGTCCTGGGGCTGCTGTCTCACCTCACCTTCACTGCTTTCTACCCCCAAGGAGGAGGTGAAGAATTTATTCCCAATTCAGGTCCAGTATCTGAAAACATGCTTCAGACAAACTGGTCTCAGGAGGCCAAGAAGGCTCCAGTGTGGGCTGATTTTAATGAGGCTGCTGTTCCACTCCTTGTCAGCTGGGCACCAGGCTGGGTGAGGAGAAAATTGTGCACAGCCCTTTCCCAACACTGCCCAGATTGTGTTGTGGTGCTTGGGGCTGCACAAGGAGGATCTCACTGGGGCATGTTCCCTTTGCTTTAAACTGCTTTAAACTTTGTCCCTCCTCTGGTCAGTCACCCAGAACACGCTTGCAAGACCCTTGTGAGGTGAAGTTTGTGCTGTGTAAATCCCAAGCCAG